GGGTGAACTTTTTTTTTTTTTTTTTTTTAATGTAAAATAAGCACTTTTGCATAATTAATTTCTCTTACTGCCAAATGTTTGAGAGAAATGAAGAAATGGATGATGAATTCGCGAAGCTTATTAGGAGGGTTAATCTACCCAGGTTTTCTTTTCCTTTTTTTTTTTTTTTAACGATTCCTTCTGTTGGCCTGTTTATTTAATTGAGTTCACTGATTTTTCTTCTTTAATTAGCATTTTTTATAATTAATTGTTTTTCTATTTATGAACATATAAGCCTTATGTTGATTTTCAATTCATTCGTAATTTTATCAAATTTATTTCTTAGGCATATTTTATTTTATTTTATTTTTTATTTTTTTTGTCTGGTTCATTCGATTTTCACTCCGAGGAATTTATTTATTTATTTATTTATTTATTTTTAACTCTAATCCTTAAGTGACATACAGAGTTGAAGGGTTTGTTATCTCTACTTTTTGAAAAAAAAAAAAAGAGGAAATTGAAATGCCTCGTGTTCAATAACGTCGAACAAGGTCTTCATTATTTTTACTTCTCATTTTTTGACTGCTGCGAATTTTTGCTCATTGAATGACGTTTACTGAAGTCAGAAGAATTAATTAATTTTAACTGTAATTTGATTTTCCTTGGAGTTTAATGAGCTATCTTTTCTTATCTCAGGGTTGTAATTGACAACGATTCATGTGAGGCTGCAACTGTAATCCAGGTATATAACATCGGACTATCCGACTGATTTCAAGTGCAATTTTTAGTGTCTGGCTTGGAAATTAGGATAAGGTAGTTCTTTCTCTCGGTCAATTATTTGGGTATTTTATTGTTAAATGATTTTCTTGTCTAGGTTGACTGTGTCAATAAGCATGGAATCCTCCTTGAATTTGTTCAAGTGCTAACAGATTTGAACCTTGTTGTTACAAAAGCACACATCTCATCTGATGGGGGATGGTTCATGGATGGTATGCATCTTTTAGACTTGCTAAATATTTGCATAGCAACATTTTGGAAGCATGTATACGTAGAGGACGTGGAGGGTTTGACTTTGTTGGGCATTTTTCTCCAGTTCCTTTATCTTTGTTTCTTATATCAAGTTCCTTGAAATTTAACAGTGTTCAACGTGATTGATCATGAAGGGAAGAAAATAAGAGATGAAGAGGTTATCAACTATATCCAGAGGGTATAATTCCTTTTCAAATTCTTTTCCTCTATCATCGTGATAAAATGAAATACAATATGTTGATTTCTAACATAGAGAATGCAGAAAAATGACTAATGGAGTGCTTGAGTTTGTCGATCGAGACCTTTAAGGCCGAGGGGGAAGGGAAAATTGAGAAATCTTTTCGGGGAATTCTCCTTTTCTTCTTTTTTCTTTTTTTTTTTTCCAAGACATGGCTGAAGTACTTTGAATCCCTGTAAAATCTTTTAAAATTTTTAGTTTTTTGTACTCTCTTGTGGCAGGTTATATGTATATTTGTTTAATTTTGTTGTCGTTGAGGTCTTTCCTATATTTTAATCTCACTAATCTTCTTGTCAATCTACATTTTTTCAGAGACTTGAAACTGCTGATGGCTCAATACCATCTCAGAGAGGGTCCGTTGGTTTGGTTCCTTCTGAAGAGAGCACATCCATCGAACTAACAGGAACAGATAGGCCGGGTTTATTGTCTGAAGTGTGTGCTGTTCTTACTGATCTTCACTGTAATGTGGTGAATGCTGAGATATGGACGCATAACACTAGAGCTGCAGCGGTGGTTCAGGTGACTGATGATACTACGGGGTGTGCAATTGAAGACCGGAGACGTCTTGCTATAATAAAGGAGATGCTATGCAATGTCCTTAAAGGAAATAATGATCTCAAGACTGCGAAAATGACACTTTCTCCTCCTGGGATAACTCACAGGGAAAGAAGATTACACCAGATTATGTTTGCTGATCGGGACTATGATAAGGTAGAAAGAAACGAAGGGACCAGAGTTGATGATAGAAGTTCCAGACCTCATGTAATTGTGTCTGATTGTGCCGAAAGAGATTACACGGTCATTACTATGCAGTCAAAAGACCGACCCAAGCTGTTGTTTGATATTGTTTGCACTCTAACAGACATGCAGTATGTTGTTTTTCACGGAGTAGTACTCACTGGGAGAAAGGAAGCATATCAGGTAAAATTTCTTCTCAAAAAACACAAATCTGTGAGTTGAAATTGGACTTCAGTTTTCTACAAAACTGGATCATGGGTGTAACTACAGGATTGATTCGTATATGCTTATATAGATATTGGCTTGACATGTAAACTATATATTGTCCTTTAAATATGTAGGAATTCTATATTCGACATGTTGATGGAGTTCCTATAAGCTCAGAAGCTGAGAGAGAACGTGTCATGCTGTGTCTAGAAGCAGCCATTGAAAGGCGAGCCTATGAGGTATGCTGACTCGCACAAATTTGTATCACACTGACGCTGGACACTTATCTCTTCAACTGCAAGGTTTTTTATTGTAGTGATATATTGGGCACTCTAGTAATGTTCTTACTATGTAGAGGATTTAGTAGGGAACCATTTTTGTGCAAGAGAAGTGTTTCTGGAAATAAACATGTATCTTCAATATGGAGAACTTGCGAGTGGCGAATATGTTGGATTTGTGGAGTCTAATATAGAGCACACTTTTCCCTTGGCTGTGGTTTGACCTAATACTTGCCTTCTACATAAAAGGTATTAGAGTGAGTCTCCATCTTGTATATCACATTAGAGTGAAACAAAGAAAGACTGAAAACACATTGTAATTCTCTTATTCAATATGTGCAATTCCAAAGTCGCACCAGGTAAACTAGGACCCACATTGAGAGTGAAACACCTTAGTCTGTGTTATTCTTGCTTTCATTTTTCTTATTTCATGCTGTTAAATATTATTTATTTAATCAGTACTAGAATAAATGTAGACGTTACGTTGAGGGTTAAGCACATAAATCTGTGTGCGCTTTGCTCGTTTCAATTGCTTTTCGTTATTATCATCATTGCTCTTGAAAGTAAGGTTTAGGGTGTAACCCATTACAGTTTAATGATGATTAGTATCTAAATACATGTTTGTTTCATCAGGGACTGGAATTAGAATTGTGCACTGAGGATAGACTTGGACTTTTATCAGATATTACAAGGATATTACGGGAAAACAGCTTGTGTATCAGACGAGCAGAAATCTCGACGAAGGGTGGCAAAGCCAGAGGCACTTTCTACGTCACAGACGTGACAGGTAACCCGGTTGATCCTAAGGTAGTCGACTCCATTCACAGACAGATTGGACGAGGTATTTTGCAGGTCAAATGGAACTCAAGTTCAGCAAAACCGCATAACGAGAATACATTTAGCTACCTTTTCGGAAGCTTTTTCAAAGCTCGAAATTTCAGATTGATAAAATCTTACTCTTAGAATAATGTGCATACTTCGTAGATATTATGACTTAGGGGAGAAAAACTGTAAATGTTTGTGAATACGTAGAGTATATATCCGTGCTCTCCCATGAATAGTATACCCGAAAGGACCATATACTGTATATATAGGAATCATGTAGTCCATATGCATCTTTATGCCTTGTATTGTATGTAAGATGTGTGAAAAGTGTTGTAAACCTGGGTTGTATGATAGCAAATAATTTGTAAAGGTACTGAACTATATGCACAGAAATAAATATATATGTAAATGTTACATATTGTCAGTTAGTAGTGATCGAGTTTACATTTTTTTTGCATGTTTAATAAGAGAATTGGATAATATTGAATGGTATTCGGAAAGAAATTTAAACATAACGAAGTCGATTCGAGTCTTCTTTCTGATACAAGCATCTTTGGTTTTTTGGGAGTGAACTTTGCAAAAGATCATTTTGTAAAGGGTAAGACGATAAATGACAGGATTAAAGATTTCTGGTTTAAACTAAAAGTAGTCTTATTTTATTATACGAAGTTAGAATGAGACGTTCGGTGAGTGACTTTGCGAGTGTTGTGAGTCGAGCTCTGATTGCCGCATCGAACCAAGCGATTCCGAATTGTACATGGGCTCCGTCACTGGAGCAAACCCTCCACCGGTTGGCTTGCCGGGAATCATTGAGTCCAGCGCTCGTGTCCCGAGTCATCGACCCTTTCCTCCTAAACCACCATACCCTGGCTTTGGGCTTCTTCAACTGGGCATCCCAGCAGCCAGGATTCTGTCACACTTCCACCACCTACCAAGCCATCCTCAAATCCCTCTCCCTTTCCCGCCAATACAATGCCATTGAGAAGCTGTTCAAGGAAGTCAAGGCCCACAGAATTCACCTTTCTCCAGACGTTTATGGTTCCATGATTGGTTCGTTGATCAGTGGAAAGAAAACCCACTTGGCGTTCTTGGTGTTCACTGAGAATACTTTGTTAACTTCCGAGATAGGACCCAAAACTTGTAATTCACTTCTTGCTGCTCTGTCGTCTGATGGGAATGTACAAGGCGCCCGCAAGGTGTTTGATGATATGATTAGTAGAGGTGTTAAATTGACGACGCTTGGGTTTGGGGTGTTCATATGGAGGTTTTGCCGAAATAATGAATTGAGTGAAACTTTAAGTTTGTTGGACAAGGTTAGAGAGGTTGATTTTTCGGGAATCAATGGGTCAGTTATTGCAGTTTTAGTGGTTCATGGGTTGTGTTCGGAAGGTCGGTTGACAGATGTGGTATATGCGTTGGAAGAGTTGAAGAAAAGAGGGTGTAAGCCTGATTTTATGGCATATAGAATTGTTGCAGAAACAATGCGCATGATGAGAAGGGTGGTTGATGTGGAGATGGTGTTAAAGAAGAAGAGAAAGCTGGGGGTAGCTCCAAGAGCTAATGATTATAGGGAGTTCATTCATGAGTTGATTTCTGAGAGGCTGATATGTGAAGCAAAAGAACTGGGTGAAGTGATAGTGAGTGGAAATTTTCCAATAGAGGATGATGTTCTCAATGTGTTGATAGGATCTGTCTCTAGTATAGATCCTGTTCACGCAGTGTTGTTCTTGAAGTTCATGCTTGAGACTGAAAGATATCCGACACTACTTACTTTGTCCAATTTGAGTGGGAATCTTTGTAAGCATGGAAAAACTGATGAATTAGTGGAAGTTTACCAAGTTTTGTCCGTCAAAGACTACTTCAAGGACTTGGAGAGTTACAATATGATGGTTTCATTCTTGTGCAAGGCTGGGAGAGTGAAAGAAACTTATCAGGTTCTTCAGGAAATGAAGAAGAAAGGGTTGAGTCCAGATGTTTCTTCTTACAACTATCTTCTGGAAGCTTGCTGCAGGGAAGATTTAGTGCGGCCAGCTAAACGGCTATGGGATGAGATGTTTTCAAATGGTTGTTCTGGAAATCTGAAGAGCTACAACATACTGATCCAAAGATTATCAGAAATAGGTCAGGTTGAAGATGCTCACCGCCTGTTTTGCCACATGATGGAGAAAGGGTTGAGACCTGATGCAACTACATATATATCTCTCCTTGAAGGCTTCTGCCAGGCCAAAAATCTTGAAATGGCTCTCAAGGTCTTCAACCAATCTGTCGAACATGATCTAATGCTTGCGAACAACATATTGAGCACATTTACTCTGTGCCTTTGTAAAGAAGGTACGTATTAACTCATAATCACCAGATCTTAACATTCACAGTGGATTGTCTCCTGTCATATCTTAAATTTTTGCGTATTGTTCTTCTACGGTGTGAAAGTTCAACAAATATTTGTGATCCTCGCAGGGTTTTTTCTTGCTGCTTCTAAGTTACTGCGTGATCGAATCTCTGATATAGGATATACAGAGTCTCATATGACTTTGCTGAAATATTTAGCTGATGCTGGAGAGCTTTCATTAGTTATTGAACACATAAAATGGGTTAGAGAGAAATCGCATACACTTTTGCATTGTATTCTAACTGAAGTATCAGTGGCACTTTCATCTTCATCAAAATCGGATGCAATGCTGCAGCTGTTTCAGATACTGGTGGAAAATGACAAAATTCCTGAAAATCTGCTTAGCAGATGATTTCACCCTTGTTAAGCTTGTATCGTTGATATATTCAGAATGCTCTGATTAGTTGAAGAAATGCTTTTCTTTCTTCATATGCTGCAGAAATTAGTAAATGGATTCACAACAGGTTTTCACACTTCTTTATTACACTTGTATCAGTGCAGAATGCTTTAGTCAATAGCCATAACATATTGGTTTTGAATGGAAGGTCTGTGGGCTGTCAATTTATGCTACTGCCTGTGACACCTTCGTTCGAAAAAAAATCTTAAATTCATACTGTCACTAGTTCAATTATATTGAACCCTATCTTTGTATTTTTATTTTTTTTCCCCTTATTGTGGTGTTAGGTAATGATGATCTAGTAGATGAGAAAGGGTGCGATTCTTTCTATTCTTGGAGTCTTGGTTGCCATTTAACGTGCTATTATTTTCAGGATGTGTCCAGCCGAGATTTTGATCGTCCTCAATTTAACCAACTCAGGGTAAGAAAAAGGACCTGTCATCTCTGCTCACACCTTTCTGGATTCGTTATCCTTATAGACTTTGAAGTGCATTGTCTTCCCTTTGGTGGTATTGTTTTGAAACCCCATCCCTTCAAATATTTATTCAAGCAAATAAATTTTGCTTGAGGGTCCTAAATATTTATTTCCCAAATATGGTATCAATTTCTATGATAAATTTTGATGGTGTTAAGAGTTGCCTTGTGTTCTGTAGGTTGCTTTATCACCTCAAACCCTTTGTTTATCATAGGGCCGTTGTTGTTACGAATTTTATGGGAGAAAGTAAAAGTGAGGAACAATAATATATTTTACTTATTTATTGTGAGAATCATCCTTTGAATGTGCTGTATTTTATGGATTCAGCAGGTATGAAAAATGGCTCATAGTTATGAATGTGTTAAATGGATTTCTTTTAGTTTCTTTGCAATAATAGTGAAACCCGGTTTTTGGAATCAAATAGTTCCCTTTTTTTTTTTTTTCTTTTTTTCAAATTCGTTTGACATGGAGAAAATTTTATGGTTGAGTAAGCTTTAAGGAAACTTAAAGAGAGCTTCTTTGACGTAAATGAGTATTTTGTATCCTGAGACTTCAGCTAAGAAGTTCACACTGATACTCATCAATATGATGACAAATAGGGGCAAAAATGGTTCCATTTGATTCTGATTTCAAGAGTACCGAATCGAATCTTAAACCAATGATTTTTTTTGACAATGGAACCAAATGATTTTTTCTATAAATATATGGAATCAAACCGGAACCGAATGGTTCGATTCTGATTCGGTTTGGTTTGATTTAGTTTGGTTATAGTTCTATTACTGATTGAGAAAAAAGAGAACATATGAGGAAAAAGAACCGAAAGTTGAGACTTTAATTTCAGAAATCCATGTTCGGAGTAAATGAGTCCTAGTATTTTGTATCTTTAGACTTTAGCTGATACTCATCAATTGGATGACAATAACCTCGTTACATCAATATTAATGATCTTACACTAATTTTGTGACTTCATACATTTATCCACAAAATGAAAATTTTCATCCGATAACATTGCACTAACACAATATCAAGGATCGTGCTTTCCAGCTTCGGCCTAGACGCGTTCCACGATTCAAGGACTGCTATTGACAGTGATACTCGGCTGTATCAGTAGCTGTACGTAATATTTAGAATTGCAAGCATATTCTACAATTGGGACGTTTTCTTTATTGTGTTCTTCAGATTGAACGTCCAATTCTAGTTAATTAAAGTCATAATATCCCTATAATATATTCATATAGATTATTAACTCAAAACAAGCAGTTCATTATTTCAATAATCAAGTACTAGAAAAAATTAAAGAAATCATAATCCAATAATTTTAAGCTGCATCAAAGGTGGTGCTGAATTATGAATGACCTGCAATTCTCTATCTAAATTCACGATTGGACAGGGCATTTACAAGAATATAAGCCAAAACCACCTCTCACCTCTTCTACATGCACACATCAACAACAAAAAGAACCTCCTTCCAAAGCCATTTTGATGTATGTTTACCAAACATAACTGAACATGTTCAGTCACACATAAATGCACATTTGACTATGCCCAACACCATCAGGAGCCAGTTAAAGATGAGAAAATCACTACGATATTGATAGATGAGCGACGAAAAGTATCAACTAAAAGTTTAAAACATATTAGAACAGACTTAAATGAACCATGGAAAAAAAAAGGTACACAAGAATTTGGGTAATAAAATGCGATGCATGCAGTTAGATGTGGAAAAACAAATCTCATCTCTCAAACAAAAATGGTATTCGCAGCAACAAAATTTTAGGACGAAGATCTAAGACATCCTTTGAGCAGCCTCCTTGGCAAGAATCCTTTCTTTTGCCTTCGCCTTAGCTTGAGATTTTGAGCCCATAACTCCACCACCCCACTTCTTCCTAGTCTCATCATATTTATCATTGAAGTTTGCCTAGAATTAACAGCAAAAATATTATCACCGGATTGCCCCTCAATATTAAATGTATGTCACAACTTATGAAGAATAACCATAAAAATGCATGCAGAGGCACTTGGATTCCTAGACTATGAATAACACACTACCTTAATAGCCTCCAAAATTTTGCTGAACTCCAACTTGTCTTCATTCTTTACTGAGGTCAAGCACAAGGCTGATGCTGTCTTCTTATGGACAATCTGCGAGGTGGCATAAATAAACAAAGTTATGTTGATCTCAAATTTCAGACCATCATTACTAGGACATTACATGACCAATAGATGAATCCACTTACAGTTCCCAATCTTGCCTTTCCCTTTACAATGCAATAAGGGATTTCCATCTTCCTGCACAATGCTGGGAGCCACACAACCAATTCAATGGGGTCCACATCATGAGCGATCACCACCAGTTGCGCTTTGTTCTGCAAGAAAAAATTTGATTAGACAAGTCACCAGGATAAACCTCAAGAAACCAGTCATTATGTGCTGATGTAGAGATAATGACCTGCTCAATCAGATAGGTGATATGGTTGAGACCATACTTCACAATAATAGGCTTCTTAACCTCAGGAGTTTTGCCTTCAGCCTCAGCCTGAGCTCTTTTCAAAAGGCGCTCTTTCTTTTCAGCTCTATCCTCAGGCCTGTATTTGAGAAGCATCTTGAATAGACTCGTTGCTGCACATTTACAATGGTGTAATTAATATTAAATGTTTTCCAAAAGAATTTGTCAGTAGAACAAGAACAATTTCTTTCACATTAAAGCCTGTTTTACAAACATAAAGTATAAACAAAAGCCACTTGAATTAGCATAAATATAATTAGGATGGACGGATCATTGTTGAACTGTTGATTTTAAACACATATACAATATCAAGCTGATTAATAACTTCAATTCACTTTTCAGTTTTTAGAAGAAAAACTCCAATTTGTCCAAAGAGCTATAAAATGATTGGGAGTACCACAGATTTTCATACATAAGCAATATAACCAGATATCAACAAAATATCCACAAAACACAGCGTCTGCACCATTTTAAAAGTACCACCAGGCACCAGCAATTTGCTCATCTTGTCACAACTCCATCAGTAAATTCGATAAGACAAAATCAAAATTTTGAGCAGTTTCTGACTAATCATTTGACATGTACACATGGAGAACAATAAATACACAAATTTAGACATAGCAACATCTCAAGGATCAAAAAATTCCAAATTAATATACAATGATATAAGCAGGCTCACTAGGTCTGAATTCAGAAAAACAGATCACAGGTCAGGACAAGTGAATCTAGATGGAACAAAAGCTATTAAACTAGATAAAGAAAAGAAAAGAAATGGAATAAATTGAATGGCGTAAAAAGAATACAAACCTACACAATTTACAGTCCTACCCTTATTGAGATTCATAAACCCACATACTCTAATGTAATATCATAGAAGAAATACTGAAAACAACATATATAGTCAGCAAGTCAGAAGCAATAAGAATATTTATTATCAACAAACAACGAACAAAATGAAATGACAAAACAAATAGGATTATAAAAATTAAAAGATCTTAAACAGACCAAGGTTCTTATCCAAGGTTTTGGAGAACTGGTGGATTGGCGGAGGCACCTTGAGGCGCTGCTTCAATATCATCTTTTTCCTTTGGATTCGAACCACCTGCGGCCATTTCACGAAGCGGTGAAGATCCTTCTTCGGCGGTAGAGCTCCGCCAATTCCAAACTGCTTCGGTCGCTTCTCGAACAGCGGATTCACCACCTTCTCCACCTTCTTCTTCGCCGGAAGCTTGGCACCTTTCTTTGGAGCCTACAAATATCATTTAGAACAATTTAAAAAAAAAGGATTGAAAAATTGTATAGCAATGAAAATCAAGACAGGAAGATTCACCAACCATTTTTCTTCGATTGGTGAACTGGAACTAGAGAGGCGCAGGCAATGTTAAAACCCTAAGTTCTGCTCTGCCTCACGCACCAAGCCAACCCACAAGCACAACTAGGGTTTTAATACTGTGAGCCATTTTTATAATTTTTTTTTTTTATTAAAGGAAATAATATTTGCACTATTCTACATTTTAATTTTAAAGACGGTTCTTAACATTTTATTATTATTATTATTTTAACTTATAATTCTCAATATTTTTTATATGTTTTTTATTTTTCTCCTTAAAATTCTATTAATTTACACATTTTGTCTCTAATTATAGTGAAAAATACCCATTACAAGGAGCAAATAGACGTATTTGCCCATCATATTTTAAATAAATAAAATAAGTTAATAACCAACAAATATAAAAGTTCAACAAAGATTTTTCCCGTGCTAATAAAATATTTGAACAAAAGTTGTCATCAGAGATAAGATATGATAACTAAATGAAGAATAAAGATAAAATTACAGCGAAAAATTGTTTAGAACATAATTGAGAGAATGAACAAAAATGAGTACCTTAAAAAAATTAAAATATGAAGTAGTTACTATCCCTTTTTTTAATTTTTTTCTTTTGTTTCTCATATTTTGAAAAAATTTGATCCCTTTCATGTGTTTTGAATGTGGACGGCAAAATTGTAAATCTTTGACAATTTTGCTAACGAAGTATGGGCATGTTTTTCTTCTCTCGTCGTCTTCTTCTTCATTTTTTTTTTAGCCCTCATTTGATTTTCATTTTTTTTTTCCAAATATATTTTTCTCTCTCTCTCTTTTCAATCACATATTTTTTAATAAAATAATATTATAAAAAGATTCAAAAATTTTCTTATTTTTAACCACTCATTGTCCATCAAAATACATTATTTTCAAAATATTGTGGCTCAAACATGCTCTTAATTTCGCTTCACCTTTTAAAGGGACTTGAACTCATATCAATAAAGTAGTAAGTTTTGTTCTTGCTACGAAAGTCAGGTATTGAATGTAAATCCATGTAAATTTGTCTTAGTAGAAATTACACCTAGGCACGGTTTTTAAATTCCAAATTCAAAAATTAGATTTGAAAGTTTTTGTGTTCAAAATCAAGTAATAATTTAGCCCCTGTTTGGCACCCATTTTTCTAAAATGAAAATGTGTGGAGTAGTATTTTTTTAAAAAATGAATGATTAAAAAATAAGGAAAAGTTTTCAATTTACATGTAATATTATTTTATGAAAGATTGTGTGGTTGAAAATAGGTAAGAAAAAAATGAAATGTAATGGAATGAAATTTAATGGGACCAAACGGGTGCTTAAACTTTTTAGTATTATAAAATTAAATTAATCAACTGCAAAACCCACAATAAACCTGTCTTAGACACCCACTACACAAATCCTAACTCATCTTTAAAAAATATTTTCAATTGTCGATTCATTTCCTATCTCCACTCCACCCACCCACTCGTTCCTCCCGCATCTCTCTAAGATGTTCGTGCGCAGAGTGACAGCTATAACACTAGCTATCGACTCGCATGGCAATGGGCGCAAGACTGTTCCCCTCTGACATGGCGATAGGTGTAGCACTGGCGCATGTGCACCGCACCGTAATAGCACCTCACATTGTCGATTCCAACAGAGGAAGGCGCGCGTGCACTCTCACCGTTGCTTTTGGTGTTGGTGCAATCTCTCTCTCTCTCTTTTCATCTCTCTTTTGCATCTATATCATTGGTTGGAGGGATTTGTTTTCTCTTCATCTACTTGGTGTGGTGATGATGGTTGAGGTGTGGTAGAGGTGAAGAAGATTTTGGATGTTGGGAGGTGGTGGTGATTGTTGACATTGGTCGTGGTAGTAGTGCAGTGGAGGTTGGGGGGGTATTTTTGTGGTGATGTTGGCGGTGTTGTTGAGATGGTGGTGATGTTGACTACAATACTGATTTTAGATCTAGTTTTGGGCTGTGGTCTGGGATATGGTTCGAGTGGAGAGAAGGAAAGACAGGAGGCAAAGATGATAGTGGCACTAGGTCCGATAGTGGTTCTGGTTATGACAGTGACAGTGGCTCTAGATAGATGAGCATTTTATAAAGGGGTGGTGGGGGAACGGCTCTGGCAACGGCTTAGACTATGGCATTGATTTTGGGATAGGGTTTGTTGATGGTGTTTGCAATTGCTGGTGGCAGCGATGGCAATGACGACGATGCTCACAAAGTGGTGATGATGTTGGCAGTACTAGTTCTAGTGATTGTTCTAGTGATGGTGATGGTGCGATAGTGGTGGTGGTGGTCACAAATTATATGGTTGATTATGACCAATAAATTTGATTATTATAGCTTGAAATATACCGTGACCAGGGACGAATTCAGGATTGGATACAAGATCGGGTTACAAAAATTCAAATCAAGCTAATACACGAAAAAAAATTTTATACAAAAAACTGTTTTTACAGGAAGAAAATGAAAAATTCCTTAAAAAAAAATTTTTTTGGGCCTTGGGTGGATAGAGATGGCAATCCGGCTCGAGCCGCTCGTAGCTAAGCTCGAGGCTCGAGCCGAGCCTTATTTTTTAGAGTTGGCTCAAGCCGGCTCGACCCGTACTCAAAAAAAATATGCTGCCTGTTTGACAGCTAACTTGATACCCGTTGCCAACAGATTTGCTACCAACAAGCAACTATAACAAGCTGCTTGTTTGGCAGCTAATTTTAGTTGCCAAACAGGCAGCAAGAGGTATATAGAAAAAAAATTCCAGAAATCGAGCTCAACCCAGCTCGGCTCGGTAAAGCTCGAGTTGAAAGCTCGGGTCGAGCCTTAATTTTCTGATCGAGCTTTTGCTCGGCCCAATTCAGACCAAAAAAAGTCCGCTTTAGAAAAGCTCGAGCCAAGCCCGAGCAAAAAATTTTGGCTCACAAGCCGGCTTGTTGACATTCGTAGGAGGGACTACAGTCCAACTCAGTCCCCCTCCCCCCCAACATCCGTCCCTGACTATGACCATGAAATAAATTAAAACTTATAAAATTTGTGATTTGTAACCAATGAATAATATATGACCTATTAATTTGAAAAAAAAATCATCGAGAAATAATCCGTCATCCATAAATTGCATAAATATGTGATCGACAAATAAACTGTGATATATAAATTTTTTAGTTTGTTACATATCAAAATATTTCATTGTGACCATAAAATAATCTATGACCAATGAATTTGATAATATGTTACCAATAAATAAGCTATGACCTATTAGTATGAATTATGATATTAATATATTTAATTAACTCATTAATTAATATTTGAGTTTTGAATTTTGAAACTCAAAACTTGAAAATTGAATTGCCATATACTTAATGCATGACTTTTGAATTTTTTTCCTTTGTCCTATTATATTCATTTATTTAAGCCAGGCAAGACCCAGGAATGTTAAATAGAATTTTATTTAAGCTGAAACTGAAAGTAGTGGTAAGAGAATAGGGTTTCAAAATCTATTTCGTGGATTCACCTTTGTCTCGACCAATAAAAATTTATTTTATTTTCTCCAAATAGATTTTTCCTTTATTTCTATCTTTTTAAATTTATTTTGTATATATAATGCAAAAAGGTTGTTTGACCCCTTGTAAAATTAGTAAAAAGGGTAAAAGGAAGTTTAGTAACCATGATGGATCGTTATATGAAATTGAGTGGCCATGGTGAAATAAAATCAAACTGAATAATCATGGTGACGCTAAGTATAAAAGTTGGGTGACCATAGTGAAATAAAATAAAATTGAGTGGCTATGGTGACATTTAGTATAAAGTTGGGTGGCCATTGATATATTTAACCCATGTAATATATCTTGTTGTATTAGATTTGGATTTTGTTAAGCCCTTTTATGGCCTCTATTTTCAAAATCTTATTTTTTTTTCTCAAACTCATTTTTAGCCACATATTTTTATAATTAAATTAATTTTGCTCGTAAACTCAAATAAATTTTTTTTTTCGAACTTTCTAATCACACATTTGCTAAAAAATAAATTTTACAAAGTATATTTTCAAAAAATTTCTACCAAATAGGGGTAAATGAATGGTTAAATTTGCCACCTAAAACCATAGTTGATTAAATAGAGCGTTAAACAATAAATAAGGGACTCACTCATATTCATCCCTCAATAACAAGTTTCCTTTTTCAAGTCCACTTTCTCATCCTGTCATTGCTAAAAATTATAGCCTACAACCTTACCATCCTGATATAAAGAAAGTTCCTTTTATAGACATGCCGCGTTAGTCTTTCTCTAATTCTGTAAGAAGTATAATTTCTCTCCAAAAATCTCAGGTGAAAAAACATGTCCAAGCCACCAAGTTTGATCAAAATCGAATAGTAAGAATTGTTGGAATTGGTTCAAAAATAACTGAAAATTGATTAAGTGGCAAATGAAAAGGTATGACTTCGTGTCAATTTCGACCAAATACGGACTTGATCCGATGTTCAAATTACAAAAGTAAATAGATCGACTTATTCTACTCATTGAATAAATCGTCGTAGTATATTTGAAATCTCGAAATCAATTCTGGATAAATGAGAAATTGCGGTCCAAAGTTAAAAGAAATGAAGTGTTGTAACTTTTTGAAAGGATGCAGATTTTGGCCAAGTGTTGCAACTTTTCGAAATGAAGCATGTTTTGGCCCACATTAATTCATTTGCACCATTTCTACATCTATAAATAGGACCCTATGGATATGATTTTCGGTACACCAATTGCATTGAGCACTTATTCTCCTCTTGCAATTCTCTCATTTTTATTTCTATAGTATTTTCATACATTTCCTTTGTAAAGAAAAAATTCTATCAAAAGTTTGTCAGTTTCTTGTGGTTTGAAGTGCTGTTACCACAAGTTATGAATCCATTGCATCTTGGGAGACACTTCATTCACCGTGAGCACCGTAGCAGAGCAATTTGTTTTAAGAAAAGAGATAACGTCTCGCTTTGGATTATTCTCTATTATCTACTCTTTCTTAATTCTTGTTTTGCGTAATTGTTTACCACATTTATGTATATCGAAACTCTGTCCAAATTTTTGTTCATATAAATTGTATTTTGATCATGCTCCTGCGAGTTAAAACTAGCCGAACAAATATATCAAAAACCAACGCTTACATAGCCCAT